GAGTACGATTAGATTGACAGCTGTCAAGATCAGACATCCGCTGACAATTATCACATGACCGTCTCGCGGGCTCAGATAAAAGACCAGTCGTTTTGCCCCTATATATAAGCTGATATAATATGTCACACTTACCAATTCAACATAAAAACGAAACTACGCCGGGCAAGGCTGTCAGTTGGCTGACAGTCGTTTACAGTTACATTGGCAGGCCAAATTAAGGTCAATTGACAGCTGTCAAAATGGGACATGTGCAGACCGCTATCAGAAAACTAATAACGAGGGCTCAGGTTCGCTCAGGTACACGATCTGGCATTTTCCACTACATGCCGGACGCAAATGTCCTACTCACACTCGTAGTCTGTTAATTCGAATATTCGCCATTCTAATGAAGGTTAATTGACAGCTGTCAAACTAGAGTATACGCTGACCATCATCACTTGAGTGGATCGCGGGCTCATTTTTCTATCTACTGAGGTCACGTAGTGTTTAAAGTTTTGGGCTGATATTTTATTTGATTACGGGCTCAATTCGAAGCCCCGTAGCTTTATAGAAAATCTATTCATCCTAGAAAATTCGGCGATCACGTGACCGTACACCGACCACCCGACCTTCTGTCCGTCCGCACCACAGGCATACCAATGTTTAATCTCACACTTTCTAGCTTGTTTGGGAGCCTGCAACCTGATACTGTACATCCATGTTTTGATTAATTGACAGCTGTGAAAACAGTGTTTCTGCTGACCAGTATCGCCTGACCGTATCACGGGCTCAGGTATCGACTCTCTGATTTCGAGTCATGTTTTGAAGGTATTCCCTGACAAGTTGCTACTTTTCAAATGATCGCAGGCTCAAGTTCAATTTTTTTAAAATGCATATGAAATAAGTCGTGTTTCATGAGCCGCACTTTTAAAATGTTGATTTCGAACTGATCTCGGACACGAAAATTCAACTGGCTTTTACATTTACATGCAGGGAAGGCAATCGCTTTTGGCTTTTCTCACTGTCACGCGTTGATCACGCTCTACGTCCAATTTTTATGTTCTGATTGGTCAGAATTTGAATTTTTGCAGCGTCTGGAAACTTGCTTACTGATAGCTGGAGCTGACAGAGTTTTGTGTCATCTTGTGATGTTTTAAACTGTCTTTTTCTACTTGGTGTACAAAATGAAATACAGCTGTTATCAAGATTGTTCTGTAATTCCTGGCTGGTTTGTTTATTGCGCTTTTTGTTGACAAATGCACCGCTTGTCAAAGTCATTGGAAATCCGATTTCGGATGGCATCGTTTTCAAAAATGAGCTTACTCACTTGCCCTTGCTTGAGGCGTAAGAACGTTGAAAAGTCTCAAGCGATTCTGGAACACTTGATGGCCTTCAGAAGCAGCATCTCGACTGGTAAGCCTGAGCCATTATTGTTTTTGATGTGTTTTTTTTTTCGGTTTCCTGAAGTCGAGCGTATGGTTTATGCGGCTTAAGTTAAAACACGAGCAATGATCTAACCTACAATAGTATCAGGTTTAAAAAGCGTTTAGACATTTTTTGACCCGCAAATTCAAAGAAAAGGTTCCAAGGATTATTTAGTTATGATTTTGGCTGTAAACAGAAAGCTCTGAGCAATTTTTTTGCCTGGAGTTCATCTTGAAAAAGAGCGAACACCGGGAAGCCGGCTTAAAACATAAATAAGCTTATGCTTGCCTGACTCATGATTTTGTGAGACACTTTACTCTCAATACTTCTCTTCGTGAATGAAAATTATTGTCTCTGTACCTGTTTCACCGAATTAAACTTATTTTATTGATTGTTAGTAGTCCCTCTCGCAAATGTTCATCGCTGCACCGGTTGTTTCCAGTCGAACATAAACATCGCGTAGCATGTAGGAATACTCAAAACGCCGCGCGTAAATATCACTCGCTTTTAAACATTGCACATAACAACATCATACACAGTTTAATGAATAAAGGGAAATAAACCCTAGACATACTAATTTCTCTATCATGTTGAAGCGTAAATGGTAACTCTGTTAATCGCACTGCAAATTTGGTGCCTCTCAAGAGTGAGAACCCGTTCGGCTGGCCGAAAAGTGATTTTGGGAATTTTTTTTATCGTTTTCATTAAAAGCCCATAATTATTACTCTGCATATCACATAGGACCAGATTTTTCTAACAGAAAACGTTTTATAATTCAGTGCTATAATTTGTTGTGCAAAGGAAGCGCGTGCTTTGATCGTCGTGGATATTGAATGAGTGCAAATTCCCTTGCAAAATTGTGAAAAACTGCCGAATTATAGGTTTAAATAGGGCAAAAAAGAACAAATTCTGTCCGAGGTCTGTGTACTGTTTACGTGAGACGTGATGAGAAAAAGTATGTTTAAAAGGCTGGTTTACACGCCACCAGATTCGTCGCCAAGATTTACTAGTAAACTAAACTTGTCGAACACAAAAAATCCGGCCTGATTTTTATTTTGGCCTCTCTTTTAGACAGAGGAATGCAACGTGTAAATTGGCTGCCACCAAGGACTATCTGGCGCATGTGTTTCTTAAAATTATATTTCGGGGTTGTCCAATTATCCATAGTCTCTCTAACGGAGCAATATGTTGGAGAGACTGGTGAATGCCACATTATGATGGTACAGCTAATACAATACACGAATAGGTCTATTTGTTTTCCAGGCCTAATCTACTGTCATAGAACATGATTGCTATTTTTCGGTGTACAAATAACTTGATGTAAAATTTGTTTCACTCTTGGACGGTCAAATTCTGATTTTTCTCTAAAATCACTCCGCCTTTGCCTCAAAAGTCAAATGAATGTGCCCTGATCTGTGGATTACAAGTTTATTGTTTGATTTAAATTATGAATTTATTAAGGGAGCTTCGCTTTTAGCCCTGGCTAAATCTATATATTACGGACACTTTCATGATGGCCCCCTGAGTGTCCGTATTAACGAGGTTTGACTGTATTAATGATGGACATCATGTCTCCTGGCCCTAATCCTCAACAAACCACTAACAATTTAGTCAAACATGACATCATATGGAAATTACAAATAATTCTAGGTAATGAAGATAATTATTTGAATGTTAATTATTTAATAGAATATTTTATGAAAGTTGACTTGATATGTTGTATATACCTCAAGTTGTAATTTTAGTCTTTTTCAAATAACAATATGATTCCCTGTACTTGAATTTATATGTAAGGTGTTTCTTTCTGTATGTTATTGTATTTCTTTTCTTTTCTTTTTTTTTATGTAATTCAATAACGTCTTTATTCAAAGTCTTACCCTGCCTAGATTACCATTATAGCTATTTGCAGGACATAAAGTATTGTAAACTTTATATTTTTTAAATAAATACATTGTTGTTGTTGTTATTGTGTGTAATTAACGAATATTCCTCGAGCCCGAATATGCTCTGGGTCAATAGCCCATGAGGACGAGGCTAAATGGACTATTGACTCAGAGGCCATGAGGGCGAGAGGAATAATTGTTTTCGTAAAATCCAACTAGTTGCTCAAAAATATCGAGACAAAACAACTTAAAGCAAGAATTTAATCCTTTTTTGCCGCCAAAAATCCGGCGCTTTTCGCTACTAGTGGGCTATAACATATAGCCTAGTAGTAGCTCAACCAATCAGAACACAGCATTTATAATAGACCACTAGTTGGATTTTACTAATATGAAGCACCCAAGGACCGAGTTATGTATATTTTTGAACAATCTTAGGACTTGAATGGTTAAAGACGATTCCTTTTGAAATCGCTCTTGCTGCACTGTTAGCACTCCTTCCCTTTTAGTACACAGAGGGGTTTTTCTCGCCAGTTAAAAGGCTATGAATATGTGAGAAGACCCTCGTAGTTAAGCACGCAGGAAATGATGTTGAAAGCAACAACAGCAACAACAGTAGTAATGATCATGATGATGACGGCTGCGCCCAAGTTATGGAATGCTCTACCGCGCGAGCTTCGCGACATTCCGTACTTACATAATTTTAAAAGCCATCTTAAGACGCACCTTTTTACGTTTGCTCATAGTTAAATGAATTTTGATCAGTTAAAGATCGATATTTCAGATTTTTTTTGTAGTAGTGTATATATTCTTATTGTTTTTCATATTGTAAATAGGATTTCTTTTTCTATGCTTTTATTACCATTGTAATGCACATTTGATCATTTTCATGAATACTTGAGTGTGCAATACAGTATAAGTGATTAAATTATAATTTATTATTATTTTTGATAATGATGTTGATGATGATGATGACTACGACCACGACGATGATGATAATGTAACTAACTCCTAACTAAGGTTGTCGCCATGTAACAACTGTGACCATCACCTATGCTTTCGCATTAACGAACCTGTCTGAATTTTCTAACGCACAAGTTCACTGTCCCTTTTCATTATCTCATACATGCTTTTCATATTGTATAAAAGCTTCATATTCTGTGGGTGAATATTTAAGTTCCTACTCACGACTATCTTTTGCTTTTAAGCAAGTGTACTTGCGCAACAGGGCCGGGTTGTCCAAAGCTGGGTTAAGATAACCCAGGGTAAGTACGAAATTTGAATTCAGATATGAAAGCTTGAAAGGAACAGTCAGTTTAATTCATTTTCCATATAATTTGTTAATTGAATGCTCTAAAAATAATTGAGAAAATTATCTCGGGAAAAGCTTTTGAACAAAACAAAAACCCTTCGAAAAACAGGGTCCAGGACAGCAAGTCAGTGCTAAGATTTAGGCATTTTGTCATGAGCTGTCATCTCTGTAGTTGAACAACAAATAACGACAAAATCATGGCTTTTGCAGTCAGTGTCGAACAGGTCACATATCGAGCACAAAAATTTGTCGTCCCGGTGGTTTACACGGAAAGGACGTCTTTCCACGAATACTTTCATCCTTTTCTCTCGCGCAGTCACAACTTAAGTGGCGTTTTAATTTTGCCCTTCCAGCTTGCCCTCGCGATTTTTTACTTGCGATAGACTTCTGACAAACTTGTCGAATTAAGTAGTCTTTAATGGCAAATTTTTTGCGACGTTCGAAGAAACAATCGCCACAAGCCCAGGAAAAATCCTCTTCAGCGGGACCAGTTTCCATTTGCTTTCCGGCGATGAGGGCCACTGCTTAGATTGAGTACGGATCAACTTCAACAAGGCAAGGGGCTTGGGCTGCTCAACAGCACGGTGAACCCTTCCATCACAACTGTAACATGTTTCCTCCTGCCACAAACACAATTTCAACAGTAAAATTTATTTCAAAAATATCAAGGGTAGTAAAAGAAGGTGGCTTGCCTTTAAAACCCCATTTACACGCGCTAACAAAATCGGCACTTCAACACCGTGGCACCGTGCCTCGTTTACCCGTGCCGAGACTACCTCCGTAGTATATCACTTGCCCGGGGGGGTGGTACTCGACCAATATTTGGGTATAGGTAAGCCACTGAGGGTTTGAAACCTTGACCCTGTTTAGGACAAAAAATTCCTAAAATAAATACCTTGTTTAGGACAATACGCTCAATTTTAGTACCCTGTTTATGCCCTGCTTATAATTAGAACAGACTCGCACAAATCATGCACACTGTTTAGGACAGACGCGCGAAATTGTATACCCTGTTTAGGACAGACTCGTGGGAAATTATATACCCTGTTTAGGACAGGAGGACGAAAACCATACCCTGTCCAGCGGCACATTCCCGTATAGGCCATATAAGGAAGTACCCCCACCCGATCACCTGTGACAATCTGTCCAGGCAAGGACGATTTGGATTAGCTTTGATAAGAAAAACCATACGTTCAATAATGTAATTTTAACAGGCGCCATTCTCTCACATTTCCTGGTAAAGGGTTCACTCTTTTGCCCTTACGTTTGCGAGGGAAATTGAAAGGCGCCGATAAAAGAATTCAATAATCTTATCAGTCTAACTGGACCAAATTAACTATTCTAGAAGTAGTAACAATGTTTAATAATTACCAAGTATTGATGAACAACAGTGGTCGGTTGGAGGAAGAATCTTTCATCAGCAGGTAAAGCGGATCCAACACTTATTTGTTTACAAGGTCTCTCAGTAAGACAGGTGTGTGATGCAGAATCTTTCCCATTCATCAGGTCTTTAAACACTTTACTCAAAACGGAATCGTCAAATGGATATTCTGAAGAGAGACATAATACTCAGTTGGTGGAACGAGGCCCTTCAAAAGACCGTCGAAACCGTTTACGATTTTTGTCAGCCTTCAATGTTTACAAAGGCGATTACCGCGAAACCGGGTTCAATTTTTTTCCCCTGCGTGACTGAATCTGCGAGCTGGCAAGATAAAGCGAATCCTGTGTTCTGAATATCCAATGTTTTACTCGTCTTAATGCAACAGGACGTCAGGACGGTATTGACCTCAAACCCAGCATAGTTACCTTTAGAGCCTGTTGTGCTATACCCTTAATTTTCAAGGGAAATTGTTAATCACAAATATTTTGGCATATGTTTTTGACCAGGAGTCTGAATGCACTGAAGTCCTGACTTACCTTTTTGAAATGAATATTCACTGCTTGGAAGAACCTTATGTTCTGTACAGTATTCATTCAGCAACTGCGAAGCCATCAGATGCCTTTACCCTGTGAAACAGCACTCCTGAAACAGTCGAGTTGCACCGTACAGGAGCCAGCGACTGACCCTAAGGAAGAAATCCTTTATATCATTTCCTGTAAAGCACTTGTTTAACTTTCAACTATATTGTCACCTGACTTTTCGATTTCTAACAAATTTGACGTTTCTTTCATTATTTTAAAGTTTTGATATTTCTTGCTAAGTGCTTTACCTAGAGCCCTGTATAAAGCGCCATATAACTGATGAATTAGTGTCAGTATTAGAAAAAGAAGGCGTAGACAACGGAACAGAAAAGGCCTTTTCGTTGTTCCCGTTGTTGTAACCGTTGGCTCCACGCTCGTTTTTTTCTCTTTTCATGATTACAAAGCACCTTATTTCAGCGCCTTTACTTTGTGTTCAAAGCAAAAAATAATTAGATACTTATATCATCGCTCCCTTTCTGCCATTCATAAATTTGACAGGTGGAAAGCATTTCGACATAATATATATAGATTTAGCCAGGGCTAAAAGCGAAGCTCCCGTTAATAAATTCATAATTTAAATCAAACAATAAACTTGTAATCCACAGATCAGGGCACATTCATTTGACGTTTGAGGCAAAGGCTAAGTGATTTTAGAGAAAAATAATTTGACAGTCCAAGATTGAAACAGCGTTTACATCGAGTTATTAAATAGTCTTATTTGTACACCCAAAAATAGCAATCATGTTCGATCACAGTAGATTAGGCCTGGAAAACAAATAGACCTACCTATTCGTGTATTGTATGTGCATTAGCTGTTGCATCATAATGTGGCATTCACCACTCTCTCCAATATTGCTCCGTTTGAGAGACTATGGATAATTGGACAACCCCGAAATATAATTTTAAGCAACACTCCTCTGTCTAAAAGAGAGGCCAAAATAAAAAATCAGGCCGGATTTTTTTGTGTTCGACAAGTTTAGTTTACTACTGTAGTAAATCTTGGCGACGAATCTGGTGGCGAGTAAACCAGCCTTTTAAACATACGTTTTCTCATCACGTCTCAGGTAAAAAGTACTATGAGGCCCTTGTTTTTATCATACAGACCTCGAACAGAATTTGTTCTTTTCTGCCCTATTTAAACCTATAATTCTGCAGTTTTTCACAATTTTGCAAGAGAATTTGCACTCATTCAATATCCACGACGATCAAAGCACGCGCTTCCTTTGCACAAATAAATTATAGCATTGAATTATAAAACGTTTTCATGAAGAGAATTCTATAATGCCAGGACTTTCAGTTAGAAAAATCTGGTCCTATGTGATATACAGGGTAATAAGGGCTTTTAATGAAAACGATTAAAAAATTCCCAAAATGACTTTTCGGCCAGCCGGACAGGACTCACTTTTGACAGGCACCAAATTTGCAGTGCGATTAATACAGTTACCATTTACGCTTCAACATGATAGATAAATTGTATGTTTAGGTTTTATTTCCCTTTACTTATTAAACTGCGTACGGTTTTGTTATGTGTAATCTTTAAAAGCGAGTGATATTTACGTGCGGCGTTTTGAGTATTCCTGCATGAGATGTTTATGTTCGACTGGATACAACCGGTGCAGCGATAAAAATTGCGACAGGGACTACTAACAATCAATAAAATAAATATAATTCGGTGAAACATGTACAGAGACAATAATTTTCATTCACGAAGAGAAGTATTGAGAGTAAAGTGTCTTTGAAAATCATGAGTCAGGTAAGCATAAGCTTATTTATGTTTTAAGCCGGCTTCCCGGTGTTTGCTCTTTTTCAAGATGAACTCGAGGCAAGAAAATCGTTCAGAGCTTTCTGTTTACAGCCAAAATCATAAGTAAATAATCTTCGGAACATTTTCTTTGAATTTGCGGTCAAAAAATGTCTAAAGGCTTTTTAAACCTGATACTATTGTAGGTTAGATCATTGCTCGTATATAAACTTAAGCCGCATAAACCATACGCTCGACTTCAGGAAACCGAAAAAAAAAACACATCAAAGACAACAATTTCTCAGGCTTACCAGTCGAGATGCTGCTTCTGAAGGTCATCAAGTGTTCCAGAATTTTCAACCCTCTTACGCCTCAAGTAAGGGCAAGTGAGTAAGCTCATTTTTGAAAACGATGCCATCCGAAATCGGATTTCCAATGACTTTGACAAGCGGTGCATTTGTCAACAAAAAGCGCAATAAACAAACCAGCCATGAATTACAGAACAATCTTGATAGCAGCTGTGTTTCATTTTGTACACCAAGTAGAAAAAGCCAGTTTAAAACATCACAAGATGACACAAAACTCTGTCAGCTCCAGCTATCAGTAACCAAGTTTCCAGACGCTGCATAAATTTTCTGCATGAACTCACCTGTCAAATTTTGACCAATCAGAACATAAAAATTGGACGTAGAGCGTGATCAACGCGTGACAGTGAGAAAGTCAAAAGTGATTGCCTTCCCCGCATGTAAATGTAAAAGCCGGTTGAATTTTCGCGTCCGAGGTCAGTTCGAAATCAACATTTTAAAAGTGCGGCTCATGAACTCGACTTATTTCATATACTTTTTAAAAAAAATTGAACTTGAGCCTGCGATAATTGAAAAGTAGCAACCTGTCAGCGGATAGGTTAAAAAAACACTCGAACTCAGTGGGTCGATACCTGAGCCCGCGATAGGGTCAGGCGATACTGGTCAGCAGAAACATTATTTTGACAGCTGTCAATTAATCAAAATATGGATGTACAATATCAGGTTGCAGGCTCCCAAACTAGCTAGAAAGTGCGAGATTAAACATTGGTATACCTCTGGTGCGGACGGACGGAAGGTCGGGTGGTCGGTGAACGGTCACGTGATTGCCGAATTTTCTAAGATGGATCGATTTTCTAAGCTATGGGACTTCGAATTGAGCCCGTAATCAAATAAAATATCAGCGCAAAACTTTAAACACTACGTGACCTCAATGGATAGACTAATGAGCCCGCGATACACTCAGGTGATGATGGTCAGCGTATACTCTAGTTTGACAGCTGTCAATTAACCTTCATTAGAATGGCGAATATTCGAATTAACAGACTACGAGTGTGAGTAAGACATATCCGTCCGGCATGTAGTGGAAAATGCCAGATCGCGTACCTGAGCCCACGTTATTAGTTTTCTACTAGTGGTCTGCACATGTCCCATTTTGACAGCTGTCAATTGACCTTAATTTGGCTTGCCAATATATCTTTAAACGACTGTCAGCCAACTGACAGCCTTGCCCGGCGTAGTTTGGCTTTTATGTTGAATTGGTAAGTGTGACATATTATGCTTATATGTAGGGGCAAAACCGTCGACGGGTCTTTCATCTGAGCCCGCGAGATAGTCATGTGATAATTGTCAGCGGATGCCTAATTTTGACAGCTGTCAATCTAATCGTACTCATACGGAGGGCTTACATAACTAAGAGGCTAGTCAAGTTGTGCAAGATCCTTTGTGACAGTTGACATCGGCTTACATGAAACGTGTGTACGGGTGGGCGGGCGGGTGTACGCTACGTCATAACCAAATTTTCTCAGATGGATAGTTTACCAAATTTTCTTACTCATGGTGCTCCGCTCTGCGCGCGCTTCGCGCGCGCGAGGAGCTCCGCTATAAAAGTTAAACAGACATGAAAGATAGATAAAGTGTTTAAAAAAACTTATTTGCCTGTTGTACAAAAACAGGAAAGCGTGCACTAAAATATATAGAGACATTTACTTAACCAGAACAGTTGAAAAACCTTCTGGTAACATTACTTAACCAGTCTTTCTGGTTTGGTACTGTCATTTACGCTTCCAAATTAATTGAAATGTTTAATCAATAGACCTCTCTCTGTATGTTTTGTTTTCCCAATACAGGTCATGTGATAATACTCTGGAGAACTGTTTCTTACAAATTTCGACGTATTCAGGAGCATATCTACGCATACTTTATAAAAAGTCAAAGGGTCAGGTTTCCCTGGGACCTTTGTTGGGAAAACAAAACCTACAAGCTAGAGAGGTCTATAACGGCTTTCAGGAAACACTCGAATTTACTTTCAACGCTTTCAGCCTAAAAAACAACTCACTTTATCTACCAGGAACATAACAAAACTGTCTCTTCACCATAGTACCTGCAACTCTGATCCACTCACTGGTTCTCAGGCAATATTGTGTTTGCACGAGATCACAGGGACACCTAGAACCAGAGAAACTTTGCCCAAAGGTGGTGCTGATAATCAGTCTCCCAAATCCAATGAAAAACTCGTGTCATTTAATGAGATTTTTAGACGAAGATCAGTTCTGTTTAGATACATAGATAATGCTCTTCTGCTCTTTGGCTCTTATTCTGTAACAATGCCTGTCTAATTAAAAGGACAATTTGGATAAAGGAAAAAATATATCGTGTCACCTTGGACCAGTTCGTTGAAAATGAGCAATGCATGTTTTTTGTCTAGCATCATTTGTGGAGAGTTCAATTCAGTTCAATTCTCTTGAACTTCGACATATGCAGTAACTATGGCCTCATACAGCTAGGTCATCATTGAAAATTATCCCAAACTGAGCATAATTAATCTTACAACAAAGTGTCACAACCGTGTGCAAGCAAAGCATCAAATGCACTCTTTCGTATCAAATTCACTTCTCTAACCTACTAGGAACTTTACATGACATTTACAAAGGTATTGACACCTTGACACAGTGCCGGAGTCTCATGAATCCTGCTTTGTACACACACACATTTTTGACATCTCGAATAAATTACAAACTCCTTTCCTTTTCGTTTTGCTGTTTGCTTTGGTAGTAACCCTAACTGAGGTTACAGATCCAGCTAAGCCTGATGTAAAATCCACAGAGATTATCAGTTGCCGGTTATTTCTTTGCACGACGTCTGCCTTTACAAGCCAGTAGACTGGATCTGCGTTTGCAATTTTGTAAACTGAACCAAGATCTATGGTCAAAAATCGAACTCTTGGTTCACTTCTAAGAACGTCCACTCCAAGTTCAACAGGAACTACAGGCAACAAATATTACATTTAAGTTTTACACCTGACAAAGAGCTTTTCTACCTATGAGTAAGTAAGAAGTCAAAAGTACGTATACTTCATTCAAAACAACGTTTCAAGGGCAAACAGTTTAAATGCACTTGTAGGATTGGGACTACATCTATAGCCCAGTGCTATGGTGTTCAATGTTGTAATTCGATGTACCTGTACTTCACACACAATCAAGTAAACGTTCAACGACCAACCTGTAATGTCGTTTGTCTGAATCGCAGCGTGAGGACACATTTGAGTATAAGCTCGAACTCTGATGATTGTATCCGAAGCTTGCACCACAACGGTAACTTCTGCCTCATCCAAGCAATAATCTAACCCCAGGTGGGTTTTCTTGGTCTTCTTGTCATATTCATCTTTCAGATTTATTATGTGGACGACTGATTCAACCTCAGAGACCTTATTCGCCGGCAAAAGGCGAGTCGTAAGGCTTCGTCTAATGTGCTCTATATCTCAAAGTAATTATAGTTTACTACGAAAGTTACTCGTTTCTAATTAATTCCGGAGCATTCGGAAATCTTAATACTGCAACAAATGTATATTTTTTGGACTTAAAAATCGTTGAACCACCTACGCATTATCAGAGAAATAAAGCAGAAAAGCAATATTGTGTAACATTTTTCGAAAGCACCCAAATGTATAATGGTCCTCTGTCTACTATTTACTTTACGCTGACTGATAATGCCATATGCTTTTTAGCAGGTGCATGGCTTTTGTTAAAGTAGAAAAACGTCCCACTTACTATATTTTACTTTCGAATTTTGTTCCTCTTGATTTTTAGGAAAGACATAGCTATGTCATAGCAGTTTCCAGTGCAAAATCTATCACCTACTTGATACAAAGACAACTACTTAGGGGATGAAGAAATTTCTCAAGTCTCCTTGGATCTAACCTGTGCTCTTTCCTGTTAATTCATTTGGCAGTTCCCCAATAGTTGGAAAAACCCTCTCAACTCCGTGATATACGACTCAGAAAGTGGTGGCTCTCCAGCACTTGGAGGATCAGCGAATCCTACGGTAGACTGAATAAGCTCATCGATGTCGTTGAGTCTTTCTTCCAAGTGGGGGTCGATCAGCCATCTGCTTGGTGTGGAGTAAAAGTCATGCACCTTCAGCTTCGTATTTGAATGTTTCAAGTGAGGTTTCACCAATTAAATAGGTGTTTCTCTCCCGCATTATTAAATATCATCACTGAATAAGTATCACCAGACTAGTTCGGCTTTAAATCCCTTTCCATCATCATCGCATTTAAATGGAAACGTGACAATCATATCTAAACGGTAGATAAAGGCATATTTTTATCCCCTAAAAATTTTTCATCTGTTCGGATTTCCTAGCTGAAAGTCTAGTGATCCGAAAATTATAGGGATCAAAACTTAGCTTTTCGAAAATTTCAGCCAGAAAAAAGGCTCCCGAAAATTCTAGGTGACCTTTTTAGGGTAAAAATTCGTTAAAAATGGGTAATTATACCATTTTTTAGATGTTCGAAAATCCTAGGAGAGGCAGGCAAGAAAGAAATTTTACAACAAATCTTCCGAAAATGCTAGATCTTTTAAAATCGTCTTCCGAACAGATATTTTCCGAAAATTGACGTTGGGTGCCCCTGTTAAGGACTGGCGACTGACACCTACTGATCGTTTTATAGTATGGATGAATTGGAGAAGCCTGAAATGATGTCAAGTCACGGACGAAATACCAGAATAGAACGCTGCTCTTTAAGAGTTTGGTGTCCGACAATTACATGCAGACACTCACTTTCGTTACAACCACATTTCGAGCATTGTGCACCACGTATTCCCCGGGGAGGGGAGTACTTCCTTATAAGGCCCGGTTCAGACGCCGAACTTTTTATGAGCCGAACCTAATCCGAATTAAGGCCGACCCAAATTATTTACACCGGCTAAAGTGATTCAGACGCCGATCTTAATTCCAGCCGAACTAAATTCAGAAGGCGAAAAATGCGCATTTCGGTCAAACTGATTACAAAATACGTCATAAGAATTTCTGCATTTGGTTCGGTACATGAAAAGCTCGGCGTCTGAATCAAAGGCGTTCCAAAGTCGATCCAAAGGCGAAATTCCCGGCCGGGCTAGGCGAAAAGAACGGCTGAGCCGTTCCAAATTGAAACAGGCGTTCCTAATTGATTCAGACGCCGAACTTTATATGTACTTAATTCAATGTATTAGGTTCGGCTCATGAAAAGTACGGCGTCTGAACCGGGCCTAAGGGGATGTGACGCTGGATGGGGTCGCATTTTCACGACTGGATTGACTATAATGGGGTCGCATTTTCAATAGAGTTACTAGAGTGGGGTAGTACATTTTCGAATTTTTGGGTAGGACAGTTCTTCATATTTACGGTGAGCAAACGTACCAGAATGTTTGTACTGTCGGTGAAAAGTAAAGTGTTCTTCATTCAGTATAGTGTAGATACATAAATAGATAGTGACTTTGGATCGCGAAAATTACATATTTCCCCAAAAGTGACCGAGGTGGGGTCTATGATAGGCCATAGAACAGACTACAATGGGGTAGGGGCTCTGAGAGGCCAGCGGCACATACCCAGCAAAATTAACCCAAGTACCCCCTTCCCCCCCGGAAATGTTCCAGGCGAGGTCCACGTAAAATTCATTGCACGCTCCTCCCATTATGTCAACGCCTGGAAGAAGGATAACTTTGTTGGCAACTGATAGAAAATGAACACTGCTCTACATATTACATAATCGTTTGCTTCTTTCCCCAAAGCGCTCCAAATAAGCGAAATTTTCTCAGAGAGCATCAGTTACTCCCGGATTGCGTGGGAAGGTGAGACACTTGTTACGTGAGGTCACGCACTACGTCCGCCTTTACCCATAATATAGGGTACGTGATACCAGGTGATACCAAACGGCTTTGGACTGATTTCAGAGCAATTAAAACGTAGGTCTCCTAAGGTTAACGTTGAGCAATGGACCTTAGGCGTCCAGGCCGTGACGTTTGTGCATTTTGCCAACGTGAACATTTATTCTGATAGTACTGTGAATAATGGGGATCATTTGCGGTCCATTTTGGAGATTATTTGTGGTCTGCAGATCATTTGCGGTACTGTACAGTTGTTAAAATCTACAATCGAACCAAAACAACCGAACGCAATTGGATTCGCGCGACAATCGAAAAACAGAACGGTTTTATTATTAGTTCGGCCCTCAAGCATGAATTTGTTAGTACGTAATATAAATCTTCAAGTAAGATAAAAGGTTTCAAGAGATTTAGCACCGCGTTTTGTGATGATACTTGAAACCGCAGTATAAAATTTAGACGTTGCGGTTAAAAGCTGCACGCCGATTTAACATTTCGCTCTGCATTCAAGAAACAATTGCACGTGATGTTTGACTTTTCATTCATTCTAAAGGCTTCAATTCAATCCAACATAGAAACCGTGTTAATCAAATAGCCTTAAAACTGAGTTCTTAGCAATTTATTTTCTCAACGCGCACGTTGAAATGCAAACGTCACGGCTTAGGTCAAGGAGGTGACATCTTGAGGTATGCGATTTCTCCCTCAAACGTCTCTTATACTAAAAGCAAGGCTCGAGCATATTCAAACACCTAATCTATCCGGCGCCAGTGCTTGTAGTGTAGAGTTCTTTAAAGCGCATTAACAGCATTAACAGTTATTTTATTTTAAAGCGCCAATAACTAAAATCAACCAATTATATTTCACCATTACTCTTTTTTTTTGTTATTTTATTACACGATCGAATAGAATAAGTCATCTGAAAGCCAATAAACTAAAAATTATTCCTTTCTCTCAACCAATTATAGCAAAATTTCACCATTGGCGATCCAACATTCCCCAATAAAAAGAAATGGCTAATTTAAGAATAATACAAGAATAAGCCTAAAATAGCCTAAGAATATTCAGCCTGGGCCGGAAAAATGCGCATCCTCGAAATTCCTCTGCCACCAATGAAATAAACAGAATGCAGTAACGACCAGCAAGTATTATTGTAAACTGTTCCCCATTTTCACTTCCTTGCACGCCTTACTGACAATAACAGTAGTTCTAAGAACAGCTCAGATTGCTAAAAGTCGTTTCAGTTTTCAAAGTTGCTTCAAGCTTCTCAAAGATCACTAGGAAATGACGCACTGATGACCGGCTTGTTGATCGAGATCAGTTTCCTGACCTTTGTGTCGATTCGATCGTGCAATGTGTTTGTCTGCCCTTTGTGCCGATCGCCCTCACGTGCAATGTATTTGTTTGTAAAACAAATTGGATTTAATGTATTTATGTCTTTTATATCTACAACTGACCTTTGGCTCCACAATGGAAAGAGATTTCTTCTGATAGCAACCGCCACGTTTCGACCGATCAACATTCAACACGTGCAGTGAAGAAGCGATGATAAGGGGGCGACCATGCACAGCTTAAGGGGCTTGAAACATGGGACGGATGGCTGATTTCTTTAAATACGCACTGTTTTTGTTTTTATACAAAATAGAGTAATATTCCATGCATATATACATTTTAAGACTCTAACACTTCTTTTCAAATCTTTCCATGAAATTTTCTGACACAACAATACATTTTTCAGCAGCTATAAATTTTTTAAAATAATCCCCTACCCCCAGCCCCACGTAAAGTTACAGTCACGTGTGTAAGTGTATAAAGGAAGGCATTTTACACCTCATGCGCTTAGTTGCGCATGAGTAACGATCCCGCGTAAAAAACCGTAAGCCGTTTGTGAATAGGCCATTTCCGAGTTCCGCCGGAACTCTGTTTCAAAACGAGAGTAAGTGCTCAGCCTTTGATATGGAAATCATTTTTCATTCTCATGCAAATAAAACTCATTTTCACAAGAAAGGTTGTGCACCTAGCCTCATTTTGAAAGTGAGGGTTTTTGGAAATCGGAAGTGGCCTATTACATGTAAGAAGGCGAACAAGGACGCCATCTTCGTTTCCAGGAAGGAGCGTTGCGTGATGACACAAAGAACGGCTGCGTAGCAGACTACGATCCTCACGGCGAAAGGATAATGTAACCCCAGGTAAGATAGACTTTGAAACGCTGTGGATTTCGGATTCCAGGTACTGGATTCCGGGTTCCTTGAGCTCAATTCCAAAGTCCAGGATTCCGGATTCACAAGCAAATTTCCGGAATCCGCATTATCATACTTAGGGCGAATAAAGAAAACCCAAGATAAAATCCATCATCGGTCTCCTTCTGTATAGTGAGACGACGGGATAACGCTTCATTGTG